TGGGCACACACCTCACTGTTCCTCCACAAAACCCAGACACTGGGTTGGAGATTCCATTCTGCCCAAGGCACAATGGAATCTTCAAACTAGGGAGCCCCATCCAGGACTACCAAAACATGGAGAAAGCTCTAAAAGCAGTTTTCTCCTTTCAGAACAGCTGCTCCGTATTCCTGCACTCAGCAAAAATTCAAACCTTGTGTCCTTTTGCTTACCACTTACACATTGACAGAACCTTGTACTGTCACAATATATATATATATATATATTGTGACAGTATGAACGGCAAGTGATGGATGGAAGATATGTGTCACCTCGCATGAGGTCATACTGTGAGGTGTAAGGTGAAGTCCACTCCGGGTTTTCGGGGCCACAATGGCAGAGGTGGTTCCGAACCAGAGTTTGGACTCCACTAATGACCACCAACAGGTGATACAAAAAGGGCAGGGCTGGAGCAAGGAGTCGCTCGTGGCCTGGGACTCAGAGAGGTATTCTGAGAGAGCTGTGTGTATGGACTATACCTACAAGAAAAGGTTTGCTGTTATTTTGTTTTGGTGACAGGGAGAAGCCCTTCACCTCTGAGAGAGGAATCATCTTCTGTTTAGTTAGTGCCTGGATGGCAAGGGTTTATTTTGATGTTTTGTTTATTTTGATATTTCTTGCAAACCTTTTTAATAAAACTGACAACCAGTCAGATTTTGACGAAAGCCTGCTGTGCGGTCTAGATCCCCCACCTGATCCCCCACCTGAGCTAACCCCACAATATATATAAAATGACTTTCTTAAAATTGTGCTACAAGTATTTCCACATTTTTAGAGTAAACACAGCAACGAAAATCTGTAATGGTTCCCTTCATGCAAGTGCAATTATGTTCACCAAAACTATAACTACCAGCTTAGTAAGCACTGTATATGTCTTTTACTAGGATGTTCCTATTTGGCACAATGAACTGTTTTCAGAAATTTGTAAACTTTCAGAGATGAGCTGCAGGGGTCTGGAAGGAGTCTACTAGTTTTCTGAGATGTTTATCTCTGTCTTCTAGGTCTGAGCCTATTCAGTGGTATCTGATGACCTGGCTGTGTACGGTGGCCCGTTTAGTGTGTCGGGGGTTAAATTTGGAACTAGTGAGCTAGTTGCACCTGTCAGTGGGTTTTCTGTATATTGAGTTGTGGAGCTTGTCATTCCTGATGTATACTGTGGTGTCTAGGAAGTTGATATGTGTGTCTGAATAATCCATTTTTAGTTTTTAGTTTGATGGGTGAAAAGTGCTGATGAATGAATAAAATTGTTTTAGATTTTCTTCCCCATCTGTCTATATGATGAAATGATAATCAATATAGCAATAATATATGTATGTCTTTTGTTGTATGCTGTTTAGAAATTTGTCCTCCAGGACAGCCATAAATACGTTTGCATATTGGGGTAGCATTTTGCTTTCCATAGCAGTACCCATACACTGAAGATAGATGTCATTATTGAAAGCGAAGTACTCGTGTAAAAAAGAATCCAATGAGCTGTGTAATATCATCAGCAGTGTATTTGTGGCTTGGTGAGGATGATAAGAATCTGTGACATGCAGCCAATCCATCCTTGTGAGGGAGGTTACTATACAGAGATTCTACATCCATAGTGACTAGAAGTGTTTTTGGTGGTCATTGCTGTATAATGTTGAGCTTCTTCAGAAAATCCGTTGTGTCTTGCAGGAAAGTAGCAGTATTCATGACTAACAGTTTTATCATGTTTTCTAAAAGGCTTGAGATTTGTTTGGTAAGTGTGTTCTTACCTGCTATGATGAGTCTGCCTGGATTTCCTGACTTGCAGGTCTTGGGCAGCTGTAGAAGTCTCTAATTTCTGCATTAACTGGAATCACATTGATAAATTCTGAATGTAGGTGGGCTGGCAATGTTTGTAATGAGACCTTTTAATCCCTTAGTAAAGTCCTGGATTGGATCATAATCCAGTTTTTTTATAGTAAGTAGCATTTGTCAGCTACTTCTGATGCTCTTGTATGTATTTGTAAAGTATCCATCACAACAACTTCTCCCCCTTTATCCGCTAGTTTGATAATGGTGGCCTGATTATTGCGTAAATTGTGCAAACTTTGCAAACTGTGCAACCAAATCAATCCATCTAAATGTGTCACATACACAAAAGGGACCTTCAGTATCATAGGATCATACAACTGCATCTCCAGTAATGTGTGCTTCATTCAATACGAAAAATGTAGCAAAGTATCTTACGTTGGAAAAACAGGACAGGAATTGCGAACAAGGATGAATTTGCACAGACATACCATCAAAGAACATAAAGAAGATGAGTTCTGCACAATTGTAGGACCATTTTTCTCAACCAGACCACACTATAGAAAACCTCAATGTCTTAGTTCTAAAGAGAATTTCAAAACTATTTAGGAGAGGAAAACTTTTGAACTAAGAATGATAGTTCTGTTTGACAAAAAAAAAACAGCCTAAATTTAGACTTGGATTTTCTTACTTCTTATCCAACAGTTTTATATCCCTCTCTGTGACTGTCACTCTCCCTCACCCGTCTATAGCTTTTTCTCTGTCTTAGCTTGCTACTATCATAATTAATTAATTAGCATTGCTGTGTACTTTTTTGTATGTGCATGTGTGTTTTTCTTCCCTTAGAGATTGTCTTTTTTTAACATTCTGCTAAACTTTGTGTATTATTACTGCTTGGACTTTGTGTACCCCAAAAGCTTGTCCTTAAAATTGTATGTTGCAAATAAAAAAGTATCACGGACAGTACTCAATTGTTTCTTTGCAAGTGCACTAATACGGCTACAATCATCTCAAGCAAGACACCTTCTCAATTCCAATAACTCAATTCAAATGTGGTTTCAAGGGGTCAAGACTATTAGGAAAATAGCGAAGCTGGTTCACTCTTAAAAGGACAAGCAAGAAACATGGTGGGGTTCCTTGTAAGTTTGGGGCTGCATTTCTAAAAATAGAGTTGCTGATTTGGTCAGGATCAAAGTTGTCCTCAGTGCTGTTTTATCCATCAGCCATTCCAACAGGGAGGCATGTGATTGCCCCAAATTTATTCTGCAGCAGGATATTGTCTCCAAACATACAATGTCATAAAGAACTATCTTCAGTGTAAAGAAAAACAAGGAGTCCTGAAGTGATAGTTTGGCCCCACATCTGATCATCTAGCCTGTCTGGGAATTCATGAAAAGACAGAAGGATTTGAGGCAGAATACATCCACAGAAGATCCGTGGTTAGTTCTCCAAGATGTTTTAAAACAACTTACCTGCCGAGTTCCTTCTAAAACTGTGTACAAGTGTACCTAAAAGAATTGATGCCGTTTTGAAGCCGAAAGGTGGTCATACCAAATATAGATTTGATTTAGATTTCTCTTCTGTTGCTCACTTTGCATTTTGTAAATTGATATAAATAAACCTACTAAAATATATATTTTTTAAATCATTCCTACTTTACGGCAACTATTTACACCTGCTTATAACTTTTGCACAGTACCGTATACACGCACACACACCTTTATTCCAGGGTCTTCTGACCAGTGTGGAGATGGCAAGGGTTCTTCCTCTTTGCCTCCAAAGGGGGACCTTACCCTAGCACTTAAATGTGCTCATGTAATGATATGTGAGTTTTATTGAGTGCAGTGGTGAGTTTAAGCCTGGGGTAGATCCATGACAGTCTGGAATCGTAGGAAGTTTGTTGGATGACTGTCATTCACTGTCAGTAAACCCAGAAGACGTGTGATTTAAATAATAGAAAAGAATTACTGTGGAGGAACAGCTCCAGATTAAAGGTGAGAATTGAAGCAAACACTTTTTCTTTATATTGCTAGCCTCTTGAACTTTAAATGTAAAACCTGTTCTGTTCTACTTTAATTTTAACATAATAATTAACACATATTAATTAGATTAATATAGTAACATGAGCAAGAATGTGGTGATATTCTTATATAGATTATCAAAGTAGTTTATATTTCTGTGGATGTTCTACTGCTACACAAGCAGAGAAAAATATTGTGAGCATATTTTCCCTCACTTTACTTAATATAGAAAAAATGCCATTGGTTGTAATAACTGATAGCCATGGCAAACAATACACATTTTTCACATAATGTTAGTCGATTGGAAAATAGAGGTAAAAATATTTATTATATACAGTTAATCGGATATAGCCTGCTGTATTTCTAGCTTTCCCTTTATTGCTGCTTCCAGAGCTACTTCATTTCATATATCAGTTACAGCTGTATTAGAAGGATTCATCATTTTTTGTATTATTATTCGAGTTCCGTTTCTATTTTGGAGAATAGAATTTTAAGGTTTAGATAATGCCTAAGACTGATATTGTGTTACAAATCAAAGCATTTACTATATCAGCAATACTTGAACTGGAAGGCAGGTAAGGCCTCTTGCTTCAGTTACTGGAAACAGAAATGCACAGTTCAAAGGGAAAATGAGGTAGGTATATACAGTTGATTTTCAGAGGAAAAAGGCTAAAAAAAAAACACTCACAAAGGAAAATACAAGTTAGTTGATATACCTGAATTCAATATATACCATGTATTTTGTACTAGATATATGTTCATTTGCCAGTTTTATTTTAAAAGGTTTGTTTGAATAAGCTGTTATATCAGTTGATAATATAACAGAAAGGAACCAAATATTTTGCTTCCTTATCATTCAATATATCACTAGTTTTGGCTTTAGCTACCAAACCGCTTAATTTCTTCTTAAACTTTGTACTGGGATCCCCTTTTAACGTCTCATAAGTGCTAGTGTCACTGATCTTCTCCATTTCTCCCTCATAATCGGGAGGTTAGATCAGGACACCATCAATATTATTATTAGTAAATATTCTGAGATTTAGGGGCACCCAGCAGAGTATTAATATACCATTTCCAAAGACTTATATGGGATCTTTATATTTATCCATATACCCATTCCCTTCCCTCTGGTGTAGATCATGTAGGCGCTCATAACAATAATTACATATTGATGGTGTACCAGGGGCGGACTGACCATTTGGAAACTCGGGCACTACCCGAGGGCCCAGGGTCAGTAGGGGGCCCATGAGATGCCCCTGGTACCTTTTTCATAGGCTTTTTTGAGTTTTGGGCAAGGACACAGGGGCCCCATGATCCCCTATTGCCCGGGGGCCCCATGAGTTGTCAGGCTGCCCCTGTGGTGTACCTATTCCTAGCTTGTATTTGCTATATGCATATGCAATATGTATTCGTAGTTGATATTTAGTAACCTGGGAGTCACTTAGTTCTGCCATCCTGGGTGGTATCAGAGTTTATCTTGCTATCCTGGTTAGTATTAGAATGGGAAGATGTTGCTTCACTTATATATTTAAATATATGTGGGGAGGGGCACATGCGCAGCCGGCTTCGGGATGACAGCTCTGTGAAGAGAGCTCCGTATCCCCGCCAGCCATAACCCGGCTTACACGGACCCAGCGACATCACAGACCTCTCCCGCACTGATAAGGGGACACAGGTCTCCTCTGGATCACCAGGGAAAATGCCCAGACGCCGCAGATCACCAGGGAAGCTGGGAAAGCTGACAAGCTTTTTCCCAGCTCTCAGCCCCTGCAGCCAAGATGGCGCCGGCTCCTCACACCATGAGACCACACAGCAGGACTGCACCAATGGAGCACACCACAGACCCCAGGCTCAAAGCATCCCTGTACCCTGGAGACCCTGGTGAGTCTTATCCGCCCCTGTCTCCCACCACAAGCAGCCCTGCTAAGTCCAGACCTAGGCTGGACACAGAAAATCTTCCTATCTCTCAGCCTTCCTATTCTGCACTTAATTTCGCTATATCTGCTCCATCCTTAATAGAAAATTTTCCTGCTTCAGACCAACCTATCACTGAACTGTCTATAAAAAGTATGCTTCTCTCACTGCAACAAACTTTACATGATGACCTGACGACGACGCTATCCCAAATTTTATCCGCGGTACAACAACATGACAACCGTATCCGCCATATTGAAAGTAAAATGGGAGAAATGTTCGCCGCCCATAACGACCTCATAGATGCATACACTGACCAAGGCACTGACATAGAACAGATTAACCTTAAACTAGCGGATCTAGAAGACCGCTCAAGGCGGAACAACATCAAATTCCATGGAATCCCAGAAACCATTAATTCGGACGCCATAGTACCATACTTACAAACATACATGAAAAACCTCATCCCCTCCTTATCAGATGTGGAACTCGCTATAGACCGTGCACACTGGTTACCTAAACCATCGTTCCTATCGGCTGCAGTACCTAGGGACATACTGGCACACATCCACTTCTACCATGTAAAAGAAAAAATTATGATTGCCGCGAGAAACACTGCATCATTACCACCAGAACAAGCAAGTATAAAATTATTTGCAGATCTATCTAAAGCCACACTTCTCAACCGCAAGAAAACTTGTTACTATTACAAAAGCGTTGCGGAACCACGGAATTGGCTACCAATGGGGCTTCCCCACAAAGCTCATTGTTAAACAACAAGGAAGGCTCTTTACGATTAAATCGCATTGATCTCCTGAAAGCCTGGAATATCATAGCGGCAGAATCTCACCAACCCGCCTCCAACCATATACAGCGCATGGAAGCTGAGTGGTCAGGATCCTGAGATCATCACCATCAACAATCACCCAACAAGCTGGGACTCTATCAACCACTAATGGCTGGCAGATGGCCCCATTACAACCATCATTGAACCCCAAGTTGCTCGTCAACATGACTTGCTACGTGAGTCATGTATGCTCCAATTCCCCTGTCACTCAGTAGCAATAAGTGCTACACATACCACTTGTATTTTCAACAAGTTTTTTTTACCCCCTTTCCCTCCTACCTCTACCAGTCGATCGTCTCAACCCCTCCTCACTCTAAATGCCGACCTACAAGATGGAACCTCCACACCAAACCACATCCAGCACGATATCCCTTCTTTGTGGAAACTTCTTCAAAATGACAAAAAGATATGCCTTCACTCTGCATGACTAATGAAATACCTCCGCTACTCCGAATAACTCGCCTACATCCAGAACTATGATTAAAATCTCATCCTTAAATGTCCGTGGCCTCAACTCACCATTCAAAAGATCTCTACTACAAAAAGAGGCTCACTCCTTGCAAGCTGATATCATATTCCTTCAGGAATCCCACTTTGCCACCAACAAAATCCCCAACTTCCGCATACACCATTTCTCACCAATTTATATGGCAACCTACCCCAAAAAGAAAAACGGCGTCATCACGGCCATAAAAGACTTCCTCCAATACCACTACATTTCAGAAGTCGCAGACCCACAGGGTCGCTACCATATCCTGATATGCAAAATTAATGGAATTCTATACACCCTGGTCAACATCTATGGTCCGAACACCAACCAATTGCAATTCTACAATAAAATCAATTCCACAATTTCTGCTCAAAAACAAGGCAGACTAATTTAGGAGGAGACTTCAACATCATCGGCAACCCTCTACTGGACTCTTCTTCTAGCAAACGCTCCTCCAAACAATCTCTTAACGTCTTTCTACATAACAATGACTACTATGACATATGGCGCTGCCACCACAGTACGGAAAAAGACTACACCTACTATTCCTCCTCTCAACTCTCATACTCCAGAATTGACTTTTTCATTACGGACAAGTGGACTCTGCAACACGCCACATCTTCCGAAATTGGTACCATAACCTGGTCTGATCACACTCCAATCTCCATCTCTTTAGATCACAATCAACACTCAACAATCCCCCGTATCTGGAGAATTAATGCTCTTTTATTGAAGAACCCGGGCAACAAAAAAGCTATATTAGATGCACACAACATGTTTTTTGACATAAATGACTCTCCTGAAATATCGGTATCCACTTTATGGTCTGCATATAAGGCATACATGAGAGGTATCCTTATACAATTAAACTCCCGTACCTCCAAACAGAGAAACCGACAAATTGAGGAACTTTCTCCTCTCAATTAAAACAAAAGAATTAGTAAAAAAAAAAAATAATAATTCTACAACAGCCGCCTAACTCACTACTGACAGAAATACACTTAGAACCTTCCTGCTCTACAAATTTGACCTCAACCTTCAAAAAACAAAAACTACATTTTACCTCCCTTAGCAACAAAGCCAACTCCTTACTAATCAAAATGATTAAACAACGACGACTAAGAAATAAAATATCCACAATTTATCATCCATCCTCACGAACCTTAACCACAAACCTGCAAGATATAGCTAATGCCTTCGCGACCTACTACCAACAACTATATAACCTTAAAAATGACCCTAACATCATCCAACCAACACCTACGTCCATACAAACAATTCCTCCACACAATTAAACTCCCTCAACTTTCTTCAACCCAACTTGATGACCCATCAATATCGATCACTTCTACTGAAATAGAATCCATCATTTAAAACACTCCCCCTTAATAAGTCTCCAGGAAAACGATGGCTATATAAATGAGTACTACAAACAATTTGCCCCTAACCTTTCACCATATCTGACCAGACTCTTTAAACCACGCAGCCACCAATGGCACATTCCCCAAAGACATGCTACAGTCGACAATAACCACAATACCAAAACCTGGCAAAGATCCGCAACATGTCCAAAATTATAGACCAATTTCCTCACTTAACACAGACGTCAAGCTTTATGAAAAAATTATAGCACGCAAACTACTCCCCTATCTTCCCACTTTGATACACCCAGACCAGGTGGGATTCATACCAGGCCGTCAGGCACCTGACGCTACTAGAAGACTCATATCCCTCATCCATCACTTAGAGCAAACCAAACAACCCTCACTGCTTTTATCATTAGACGCCGAAAAAGCATTCGACTGCATACACTGGCTATTTTTGCAAATGACTCTACAAAAATTTGGCATCTCAGGTTGGATGTTAACAGCCATTTTGGCACTATACTCCCTCCCCTCAGCCAGAGTGTTAACAGACGGAACACTATCAGATCCCTTTGATATTACCAATGGCACCAGACAAGGCTGCCCTCTATCTCCTATCATATTCGCACTACTCATTGAACCCCTAGCATCTAAACTTCGGGATGACCCAATGTTCACTGGCATACGGCACCTTACACTGAGCACAAAATTAGCCTATTCGCAGACGACATCATATTGATGATTACCAACCCACTCAAATCCCTCCAAACAATTACCCATACAGCCATCTCCATTATAAACTAAACAAGCCCAAATCCTCAATTTTAAACCTCCACACACCATATTTCACTCAACTATCCCTTGCTAAACAATTCCCCTTCACATGGGAAAAAAAATACCATCCCATATCTGGGAATCAAACTCTCTGCTACAACAGACCAACTATTTAATTCAAACCATAAAACATTACTTGAAACTATACCCAAGAATTTGCCAACCTTCGTACCTCAGAATTATCTAAAATAGGCAGAGTAGCGACACTAAAAATGCTCATCCTACCGAAAATTCTTTATATCTTTCACACTCTCCCTATACCAATCCCCAATACTTTCTTCTCCAAACTTCAATCGATATTTACCAGATTCTTATGGAATTCCAAAAAACCTCGATGTACCACCAATCTTCTAATCAGACCACCCTCCAAAGGAGGCGCTAGCCTACCACACCTCAATTCTTACTGTAATGCCACTCTCATGGACCAAATTTATTTTTGGTGGCACCCAACCAGAGAAAAATCCTGGTCCATAATGGAAACCTCACCCTTCCTTCCACTTAAATAACAACATCTACTCTTAACCAAAATATTCTCACAAACCACATATCACTTAAAGCACCCATGCATCCAAGCCACTCTTCAAGCTTGGAAAGATCTTTTATCCACAGATTATGCAGACTCCAAACAATTCCATACCCCACTCAACATACTACACTCCATTATGCCCTCGTTAGATTTAACCCAGTGGGAAAAATGAAACATACATCACATATCAGATCTTTACAAAAATAACATCCTACACTCATTTCAATACCTCAACACTAAATTTAGCCTCCCGGCCGCTGAATATTTCACCTACCTACGAATCAGTCACTGCATCAGAACGAACAACATACCCCAAACCATAACTATCCCGGCTACGGCCTACACTTATTTCTCCAAACCACATTACCCAAGTAAAGGCATCTCC